GATGAGGATTACTTGTACGGAGGGCACGACAATGGAGTTTTTCGGTTGAGAGACGGCGTGATTGGAAGGCTTGATGGCGAGTTTGAAAAAGAGGATAGATTTGACCCGCCGCCGAGCTGGCTTGTTCCCAGAACCGCCGCGAAGCTCCAGTGGTTCTGAGTGAGTGCTATAGTTAGTATGAGTGGTGTAGTTTTCATATCGTATGTATTAAAATTTGAGTATTTAGTTTCTAATTTGTAGTTCAGTGATGTATTCAAATCGTTAGTGAAACTTTCATAAGAACAAAGTTAAAGTATCAATATGAAAAAAGCAACGGTAAATACTGGATGGGAACTAATTTCCAACATGTCAAAAGCCTACAGTTGCAGCCATATGTTAACTTTTTTGGTTAAAACCTCCCCGTGTTTTTTATTATTGAACAATACTCTTAATACACGTCATATTCCACGGTCATGAAGCTAGGATGTGGCAAGTATATCTTGAACACGGAAGAGGATATGTCACATAATCTTATGGTTAGTAACCTTGTATAACCCTTCATTTGTCACGTATGAAAAGCATAATAGAACATGTATAACACACACATAGGATACACTTCCTCACCTCACCTCACTCTCCACCATCCTCCTTCCCCCTACATTGCCAACCAAAATCCGAGATGCGAGCTAGACGTGGAGAGAGAGGGAGAGAGATACAGAGTAGTAACATCGAGGTTGTGCTAATAGACCCATTGGATAAACTGTTGAGTGCACGAGGAAAGAAAATGGGTTAGCAGCGAAACTTCACAACAAATTATTTGCACATTTTGTCATGAAACCTCATTCGATTTCGAGTTTAGGCAATCAACCGTCAATATAATAAAACTCCACTTCCAATGAGAATCTGTCTCGCCGCTGTTGGTAGAGGGAGTCGTCATTGGGTTCGACTCTATTTTCAAAAAAAAAAAAAAGAGTTCGACTCTACAAGCAAGCATGGAATGATTTTCCGGAAAAAATCCCAAAGTACACACGTTCTTAAAAAAAAATCCCAAAATACATAAGTTATAAAAAAAATTCCAAAAGTACACATGTTTGAGCATCACCGTTTTTGACAAAGGCGATGAAGGTTATCACCGCGTTTAATAAAAACGGTGAAAATTTCACCGTTTTAAACTAAAACGGTGATGACTTCACCGTCTTAGTCTAAAACGGTGAAGTCATCACCGTTTTAAACTGAAACGGTGAAGTCATCACCGTTTTAATCAAAAACGGTGACCACTTCACCGTTTTAGTTGACCACGGTGAAGTCGCTGACGTGGACAGACGCGGGGTATTCACCGCGTTAGACAAACACGGTGAATACCCCGTGTTTGTTTACGTCAGCGATCCGCGTCATTGTGCTTTCACCGTGGCCGTTAGATGCGGTGAGGCGCGGATCGTGGTTTTCTTCCCACGATCCGACGCCTCACAGCACGCCACGTGGACTCGGGGAACCGTTTTTGGTTAATGCGAGGCCTTCACCGCGTTCATCAAACGCGGTGAATGCTCCCCCCTAATTACTGCGCAGCAGCTCCTCCCCCCTTTCCCCAACTATAAATACCCCCTTCCCCCAACTATAAATACCCCCTTCCACTTTCACTTTCAACTCACACCACAAACATTTCACTTCTTTCTCCCTCAATTTATCCGCTCTAGTCTCGTTCTAAGTATGCTCTATGGTTGCGGCTAAGTCCGATCTTCCACATCAGAAAGAATTACTAGAGTTTGACCCTAAAGCCCCCGTCCCGCTAAGAATTACTAGAGTTTGACCCTAAAGCCCCCACTGGCATAGGGACAAAGTCGGGGGGATCATTCTGACTATGTAAAAATTGAGTTGGAACCTGTGTGTAATATGGCGTGGGTGCCTCACGAAATGCCGTCTCATCCTCGTTATCATCAGTATCTTCCTCCTCCTCGCTCACTGATCTCAAATCTTCCTCAGTATCCTCGTCGCTCGACTCGAATGGATAGCTCGGGCTAGAAGGATCAACATGACCACGATCACCAACATCGTCCTCTCGCTCATGTGAAGTACCCCCTGATCGAATGGTATTCTCGATTTCAGACCACTCTGGCCCCCAAGCAGGCCATTGAACACCATCGGCCTCAACAAATGGGGCTGGTTGAGGAGGTTGCGAGTATTTGTCCCATCCTGCACTACTCGATCCGCCGTAGTTGATTGAACCACCACCCTCCCCGTAACCTCCTGTATAACCACCGCCTTGGTAGTTGCTCGAACTACCACCCCATTCGTACCCTCCTGCAAAACCATCATCATAAGAATACTGGTGAGAATGAGATTCACCGACCGCCTCGGTCTCAACATACACCTCTGCAAGCCGGACTTGGTTATCGCTTAGGAACTGTAACATCATCGTAACCGCGTCATCATCATTTATGACAACTTCTTGGAACACGACCCCGCCAGCACTCATGTCTGGATACCGGTAAGTAATTTTGCCAAGTCTCGTCTGTCCGCTCGTACAAACCCTTTCTGCACAAAGATCACAGAGTTCTTGAAAATTGAATCGGGAATCAATTTTCAGCATAATGGATTCGCCGTCCTCATAATCAATGCCTATGTCAGAGTTTGTCACCCTTCCATTCCACCGAATAGTAAGATGAAACTTCTTGAATTTACCCATATCTACAATTTACAATAAGTATCTATTAGCTTAAAGACAGTAAAATTAACCAAAATCATATTGTACAACTAATATTAAATCATACCATAACTAACGAAAATAAATTCAACTAACTAACAACAACATAATACGAAAATTAAATCATACTATAACTAACGAACATAAGTTCAACTAACTAACAACAACATAATACGAAAATTAAATCATACTATAACTACTAAAAACATAATTAGACTATAATACGAAAAGTCTCAACATCCCGAAAAATTTCTGTTCTGTGTATTATGCTCGATTTTGGCTGCTGAAATTTGAAGAAAGGGGAGTGGTTATGTTTTTACAACTGCTGGTGGTGTTCTATTTATAGGAAAATCTGCCTACTATTCACCGTTTTTGTCCAAAACGGTGAACACCATCACCGCGTTTGTGTCAAACGGTGAATAGTTGGTAGCTGCAACCTAATTTTGACCTACCAGGGGTGGGAAACGTGGGAAATGATCACCGCTTTAAACTAAAACGGTGAATGAGTTCACCGTGTTTAACCAAAACGATGATGTATTCACCGTAGTTAACAAACGCGGTGAACTCTTCACCGTTTTAGTTTGAAACGGCGAATTCTTCACCGTTTTAGTTTAAAACGGTGAAGTATTCACCGTCTTCGTCAAAAGCGGTGATGACCTTCACCGCTTTTGTCTAAAACGGTGATGCTCAAACATGTGTACTTTGGGAATTTTTTTTATAACTCATGTATTTTGGGAATTTTTTTTAGGGCTAATACCACTACAACACCCGAACTATGAACAAAATGTCACTTGTGTCCTATTCTTTCTAATATTCCATTTCTGTCATGAACTATGATACTTTATGTCGTTTGTATCCTGACAATTTCGTTGACCGTTAAATCTAACGGTTGACCTGACGGCGGTCAAAATTATGTTGACTTTTGGTGACATGGCATCCACGTGGATTGACATGTCATTATTGTTCAAAATCAAATTATTAAAATAAGTAAAATACAAAATTATTAAAAAAAATAAAAAATGTCGTCGCAGCTCTACTCTCTCCGGCGATTACCAGCTCCTTTTAACATCTCTCAAATCCGATCACATTGCCGCTCCGCCCCAGCTCTATTCTCACATGCTTCTACTTGATTCACTACCGTCAGCCTCCAATTGGGGGAACTTGACAGCTGCCCGCTTCAGCTCGTAGCCATTCTAGATCTAGGTTCATGTATGCTCGATCCGAGTGACAAAGTGAGTTCTACCTCTCATTTATCTGCTCCCTCCCCTGATCTCGATCTCAATGATTAAAGCAGTTAGCTAATCAAAGTTTATCTTTCTTTTCAGATGTTGGGCTACACCGATGATGAAGGCAGCCGGGGATCCTCGCCAACAATGAGTTCCACCCCTTCGCGGCGATCGATTTTCGCAACGATCTCCGCCGTCGTCTCCTCGACGAGATGGGGAAACGAAAGGGAAGATAGAGGACCTTCGTCGTCTCCTCGATCGATTTTCGCGACGACCTCGTGGGCATTTTCAGCTTTGGAATCGATGTCGCCCCTTCACTTCATCTCGCCTCTGTTGGTGTGATTTCGGAACCCAGGTTCTGGTGTGGATTCTTTGCAGGTATATAGCTCGAAGGATGGTGAAGGTGGTGGATTTGGTGAGTGTGCGTGGGGACTCGAAATTTGACGGCGCCGGATCTGTAGCAAGAGGCTGGAGGAGGAGGTGATGGAGTTGAAGTAGTTGAAGATGAAATCGACAGCGATGGTCGGTTGGAAGAGAAGCGAGAGGTGGAAAGGGAAGGTGGAGGAAGGGTCTTTATTTTTATTTATTTTTTAAATGAGTTGGAAAATAAATAAAAATCGGATTAAAAAATTCCATGTAAGATGCCACGTCAATGCTGACTGGATTTTCTGTTAAAAACTAACGGTCAACACCGGTCAACACTAACAGACTAATAGTTTAGGACACAAGTGGAATATTATTGGAAAGAATAGGACACAAGTGACATTTTGTTCATAGTTCGGGTGTTGTAGTGGTATTAGCCCTTTTTTTTAAGAACGTGTGTACAGTGGGATTTTTTCCTGATTTTCCATGGTAGCTATGACCTAGAAGGGGAGGTTGTACACCTGTGCATACAACTTCGACGATTAAACACAATCATAATGGTAGGAGCTGGCTACTATGAGATTCGAATCTCCAAGTTAAAAAGAAAAAACGAGGAAACCACTAGACCATTCCAAGCCCTCTTTTGCAATAGGTAACCACAACCTAAGCACTAACACAGTATTTCATTTGTTCAATTGCCATTGCAATTTGCAATAGGTAACCACAACCTAAGCACTAACACAGTATTTCATTTGTTCAATTGCCATTTGCCAATTGCAATGGCCAGTGAATGGACGTCACCTAGGGAGTATAATCACACAAACTCCTTCCTGAAACATTGATTTGACTAAAACCCATGAACGATGCAGCAAACTATGGTATCTCATCCGATTGAAATTTTCTGTTAACTTTTTGCTTCAAACCACTGGATACAGTACAACAGTATCTAAACTGCCGGGTGTGGTTCATGTCTCAACGGGGATCATTTTGACCTTAGCCTGATCTATGGGGCAACAATGGACCAAGGATCCCCTTGTATAACCTAACACACATTTATAAGCAGGGGACGCAAGAGCTCAAGAAAAACAAGTAGTTGCCACCCAATTAAACCAGAAAATACGAATAGAAAGCCGAGTGGGAGAGGAAAAGAATGTCAATCATAATCTTGTGAGGATTGAGAGGGTGACTACTTCAATTTGACGGGCGATCTTGAGCCAGAAGACCGTTTAAAAGTGGTCGCTCCACGTCCAGACTCCTAACAGATGTGCCTGGTCCTCTCGGGTCATGACGATGGAGTCTGCCATTCAGAAAAGAACAATCCAGTTGATTAGGGCACTCCATGAGGACAGGGTGTATATCGAAAACAAGGGGCACACACTGAGCCGATTTGATATTCCGTATTTTGCCAGTTAGCTTGTCAAAAGAAATGAGAAAGTAAGGCAACCCCTCGTATGAAGAACCAGTTGGTCCCAATAACGAGAGAGAGGTTCAGTCATGGATCTTAAACTATTTACCAAACTATTTACCAACACCTCACGCAATAACTCTCCAAACCGTCAAGGGCGTCACAAGCTCTAGTTTGACTACCAAAGCAAATTTTAGAAACAAGGTGAATAAAGAACTACAAAGGTAAGGAGTGTTAAGATTTTTGTTTCAAGGCGCAGGTTTGGAAACGGTTCAAGAAGAAAATAAAGTTAGCTGATAAGATATGAGATATCTTCTAATGACACAATATGACACGAGAAAAGCAAGCATAGAGACCTTACACTAGTTGATTGGAGCTCCACATTGGCTGTGTCCTCGCCATCCTGAAACAGAACCAAATTCATGTCCTCGTTAAACACTTTAGTCGATACGATTAAAAGAAAAACAGAGGGGCAGGCAAAGAAAGCTTTGGTTTATGGGAAACTGTAGTGAAGACATGATCATACCTCAATCAACAAATCCTTTCTTGTAATTAGCCCAACAATGCGAGAAGGCCGAGGGGCAACGAACAAATGCCGTAATCCTAGTTGACGAAAGAGATTATATACCTACAACACCAGTAGCAAGATGCAGTCCATTGTAAGGCAAAGAGAATTGCATTTCCCCATATATGTAACATCACAACCTACAAGTTACAGAGAAAGGTACTAACTTTTGTTAAAGACATATCTTCTGGGACGACATATGGAGAGGGGTTCAGAAAGGGTGCAAGATCTATGTACATTTCCGAGTCATCCGAACTCAAATGAATATCCTCTATTGAAATTCCTTTGCTTGAAACAGGTTTCACAAACTCGGTGAAATTGTGACTGTATGAACAAGAATCAAACTACATTAGGGGGAGTGAGAGGGATAGCCAAACTGGCCGAATGACATCATTATCAATGCCACAATTACCTGATTGGTCTTGATCCACTTAGAGAATCAAACGGCAAAGGACTGTGCTGGAAATCTACCTTAGACTGAAGAAGTACTAGTAAATGACTGCACAGAGAAAGAAAAAAACATTGTGTTAGTTTCTTTTCAGCTGCTATACTACCCTCTATTGAATAATATCACATGTTGGCCTGGAAGTGAATTGAAAAGGCAATCATTACCTGCGAAGCATAAGCCCAACTACAAGCGTCTCTCCATTCCTTTTATGATCAATTACCTAAGCAGAATATAAACGGTAAGATTAATATATCTCATACCTGATTATAAATGAGTAACAAAAGGTAAAGGAGAAGATTGCTTACAGGAAATCCATTGTGCTTACTGCTACGCAAGATGGAAACTATATCTGCAACCTTAGCAACACGAGGAAGGGAAACAACCTTCAAGATGAAAAAGCATGACAACTCATCAGTTAAATAAACCAAAAACATAGACCGAAACCCCTAAACTTATGTATTACTGTTCAATTTATCGATGTTAACATGGCTAGCAAAAAGATCAGAATGCTTTCACTGAGAAGTCACCTTCTGATTTCCAAAAGCGTCCTTTGCGGTCATAGTCCTCATCTGGTATTTTGGTTTAGATTCCAGCAATGGAATGCCCTTTAATCTTGCCTGTTCTTCATAAAGGCCTTCATTAAAAGCATCACCAACGGCCTGCCCAGGCAGAGAGAGACAGAGAGGTGTGGAAAGTTGACAGGCCATTCATCAAGTTACCATGGGAAAGAAATTTAAAGAAGGTACCTTTGATATAAGGAGCACGAGCATTATAAGAGGCAGAAGTTTCAAGTTGTTGGTGATCTCAACCATAATGACACATAAAGAGACTGTCATCCTCATTGAACCTCCAAGGAAAGATGCAGCTCCAAGTAACGCATACCTAGCAACAAAACCAAGAAATAAATTAAGTAAAAATTATTGGAAAGGAAAATCTGCAGCCAAGTCAGGTCGATTAAAAGTAAAAGATAAAAGCCAACACGCAAATTTTATGGCAAGAGAAATTGAACACCAAAACAATGGATTTGTGCGAAGAGAATATATCTAGACTTGTTGGAGGAACTTACGTTCCTTCCTCAATGTTGAGCTTCTTGTAGAAATTGACAACAAACATTCCAACAAGGCGTCCATATGTCGACCCTATCATTATTCCAGGAACAAACTGACCAGCAGGAACTGCTGTACCGAAAGTGAGCACTGCTAGCGTGTAAAACATAACCTGCAAACATCGAATAACATAAATCAGATACTTGCAATTATATAATCTAGATAGCTCAGCTGCATTACAACTCCGAGTGGTAATGTTTGTGCTATAACTGGGATTAAGCGATAAAACAGTATCTCTCTCAAAAGATTATAGACAAAACGACTTAGAAGGCTTGGTGGCTGATATACTATTTGCCCTTTTTAGGCTGTGCAGACAACTCAAGGGAGGGATGATATTTGTAACGCTGTGCAGAACAGGTTTCAGGATGCAGCTTTAGTGAAATACATCAACCTTCAAGAAGACTAATTAACATCAACAACATAATATAACTAGGAAATGATGCAGTACCAGAAATGTCAATAAACTTTGTGCACTGAACTCATGGATCGTCTTTGCACTAAACAGATTCCTGATTGCGTCATCCTGTAACGAAAAGAACATGGACACAGTGAATAGGCCATAAAGATGTCATGAAGCCATAAGCGGAAACTAACATGAAAATGAAGGACAAGGCTGCAAGGCACTAAAGTACCTGAGTGTTGAAGAAAATTGTTGCAAGGTCATTATACTCCTTCTCCTTGCCACAAAAGAACTGCATATAGAGTAAAATTTTACTTGATTCCAACGACAGTGTATCAAGAGATATTATAAATGCTAAAAAGTAAAAACACAAACGGAACATTAAAAACCAGGAAAACAGGGAGGTAATTGCCAGGCACTATTCGTGAATATCAAGTGATAACAATGATTAAAGATGGAGGATATCAATATTGTTCAATTATTAAATGAGTGCAACAGCAGTTTCAAGAGGTAACTTACACTGACATAATTCCCATACATGCCTGGAGGGCGGGGGCACTCAATGCTAGAGTCGGTATCAGATTCTGGGCACGGGCTACACTTTCTCAGGAGTGGAAGTCCAAAAGAAACAGCAGAAGTTATGACTGAGATCAGGCATGCTTCGATTATCTGCAAGGTTCAGGATATGAAAGCAGAGTGAGAGAATTAAACCTATTTGAAAGAGTCAAATTTAGCAGAAACCCCCTTTCTTTACTTAATTCAGAATTGCACCTTAACTCGGGTTCCTTTCTTGTGTAAATGGTTTCGACGCCAGTAAGTTATATATAGAGTGAGTTGGTTGAATAAGGCACCTGAAAACCCAAAAGAAGAAAGAAAGAAAAGATAACCAGTGAGCAAACTATTTATTGTCAACAGAAAGGGTGTACAACGACAGATCCCTCTGGTACATACCAAGCAGACCACCAATCACTCCAATAAATGCCATCGGAAGTAACTCCTCAAAAGAGTAGTCTTCTTGACCACTGTCCAGGAGAGATTTTCAAAAAGTAAAATTAGAAATCAGCACAAGCTCTATGCAATACGGGAATAAAAATGCAACAGGCTTAAAACTTACTCTGAAACATCCCATATAATGAAGCCCCCTGAGCCAAAGTGCCCACACTTTCCACTCTTACACCATCCCATGGCAGTACGTACAACAACTGCCACAATAGCAGAAGTGAAAAAGACACGCCACATAAGTTGACTCCTCCACCTTCACGAGTACAACCAAATTATAATTAACTAGAATTCAATCTGTAATAATTGCAACACATCAAATGTAAATTTATATAGCAAAGCCAATTTCATGACATAATTACAATTGTCTTACCAAGATGTAACCTCTTCCAATGCGAACAATACGCCACCAACTGGAGCTCTAAAAGCAGCAGCTACTCCAGCTGCACACCCACAGGTTACCTTTTCAAAACATTAGACAGCAAAAAATTGAGCAAATAAGGATGCAAGCAATCTCCACGGATGGGTAAATAGAACTGATAACAACAGCATTCAAGCGCACATTAACTATACTACTACACAAGGAGGAATTGATTCATAGTAGGTGGCAAGCAAATTATTACGTTATGATTCCCAAACAGGAGCCACAAAAATGTGATGAATCGGCCAAATGGAACAACCAAAAAGGAACAAATAGGGGAATGAGTTGACATAGGTCACTCACCAGATCACGACGGTCACGATCACTTTGGAAAAATTGTAACCATCGGGAACTTACATGATATTTTGTAGTCCCACCCTAATTAACAAATGAAAGAAAAAAAAGAGTAAGAACGAACTGTTTAATAAATGAAGAACAAAAAATGGTAAATGTGGTTTTGTGACTCCATAAAGAGTCAACTCCATAAATTCTCACTTGTCCAAACAATGAAGCTATGCAAGCACCGGTATGAACAAGAGGACCTTCCTTGCCCAAAGCAAGACCACCTCCCACAGAACCAATGCTTCCAAATATCTACAGCAATTAACGAAACTGAGAAGTGAGAAGATGGGTAAAGGTAATGGGCAGCAAGGAACATTGATGCCACAAAATACCATCAAACCTTTCCGATCAAGGTTCTGAAGAGTAGAATACCATGGATGTCAACCCCTGTAAATAATAAGATGCTCATCATAAAAAAGAAGGATACTTCAATTTCCTCAAGGGTACAAGAAAGAACTTTGATCTGAGGAATGAAGCTCACCATTTAAATAACCTTTAATCTCTGGGATACCAGACCCTGCTGCAGCAGGTGCAAAGTGGGTGATGATATATACAGATGAAAAAACTAAAGCCAGGTTGATTAGTACATAAAGTACGAAGCCAGCAAAATATGACTTCTGTATTATTGCAAACGTCAGCGAGAACTTCCAGCCGGCAAAGTTCTCCACCGATATATTGATGAAAACAGCTGCCAATCCAGTACCTGTAAGCAAACAAAATCGAACTAATAAGCTATCAAATTCTACAAATTTTAATGCTCCTACACCTCACCACATCACGTAATATCATAACTCCCAACTAAGAAGCTAAATCAACAGAACATGCTACAAAACTGTGATCTGGAAATGCTACATATTTACCAATGAAGAAACAACGGAAAGACCAAAAGGGAACGTAGGAGCTAACAATTGAATAGAGGAGTGCATCAGTGACCTTCAAGCCCGTAAAAGCCCAATCCAGATCAGAAACACCAAGACTTACCAATTCCAATAAGCAAAGCAAAGAACCACTTCACCACTACAATAAATCCAACGTAAAGCTTCCCTCTTTGTGCCTGCAATTCCCAAAGGAATGGAAGGGAAATCATAACAAAACAAGACAAAAAAAAACCCAATTAACCACAGAAATGAAGCCTCATACTCGAAAATGAAAACACCCCCGAACCTCACTACAAACCTGCTCTTCTCGATACTCGTAGTTCTCAATTACTTCATAATCAAGACTTTCAACATTTCCGCCATCGCTGGTGCTCAATAGCGTCCCTCCATCGAGCTCCCCGTCCTCCGAGTTAGGTATCCGAGACCACAACAGATTAGCGGTCTCCATTCCATTCTGCAACTGATTCGACAACATCACCAGAAGATTCCTCCCCTGTCCACCTAATCAAGCTCCTGACCTCAAACCCTATGCCAGCCAGAAGAGAGGAACTCCGGAGTTAGACAATCCAACTCCAGAATTCTGCAGAGGATTCGGGGTAGAAGCGGAACAGATCACGGCGCCGAACGAAGCTCCTAACAATGGTTCAGTTAGGAACTGATGCAGGGAATCGCGTCGGAAGTAGTCCCCGTCGCCCGTCGGAGTCCCTCTCTCTCTCTCTCCGGCGGTTTTCCCTTCAACCTTTTTCACTTCTCCCGCTGGAGTTTCCTTAGCTCCGTCGCTTTTTCGGTTCAGTGAAATTTGACTCTTGGCGAAGTCTCGGAGCTGAATCTGACGGGCGTTTGTTTTCATTTTCCGGCTTTCCTCATATTCTTTGGGTTGGGCCGCGGGCTTTTGATCAGATGCTTCGCGGGTGTGTGGTACAATGGCTGAGGATTAGAGGCTTGGTTGGATCTGGGCCGTTGGATGTAGTTGATCAATGATTAAGTGACGTGATGTGGGAGTTTGTTAGGTGTTTTGGCATGCGTGTCGGGTGGAGTGCCAAGTAGGAGATTGATAATGACTATTCGGGAGAGAGAAAGAGACGCGCAGGGAATGTGTTGTGTTTGGTCCGTAACTGTACTGTGCGTTTTAAGGAAAGAAAAATTTGTTAAAATATTCATTACTCGTCACCAGGGGGAGTTGTATAGACTGACACGTGGACGAGCAGTTTAAAATGGTATGGTTTGGTGAGTTTATGAATATATATAACCCAGTTTCCTCTATTATTATTGTAATATGTGAAAGAGCTATTTAATTAATTTTTTTATGAAAAATTAATTAGTTAACTAAACAACCCCTTTGGGCTTTGGCAGAAGTGTCTTCTTGAAGGGATTATATAAACAAATAAAAAATTATTTTCTTGAAGATGTTGATATAACAAAATGGAATTGTTTAAATTATATAGTACATTAAGATTACGATAGTACAGCAAAACAAAAAGTATATGGTTGTAATGTCACGCCAACATCTTACCGGTTGGTTCAGCTAGGTACAACATGTACCGGTCATCAACCCGGCTGGAAAGGGGGCCGATATTCAATTTTGATCAAAGTCGGCCAATGCTGATAAAATTCAAGAAAACTGGTCGGTTATATTAGAAATCAAATTTCAGTATTTTCACATATGTACTCCAAAAATAAACATTGATCATTGGATTAGAACCACATACCTCATGTTCACTAATTTCAATTATACTCCAATAGACTATAAAGAACTTTGTGATATATATCAACCTTGTCTATTATATAAGTAATATAATATTTTACAAAAACCATTGTCAATAGTAATAAAATTACTTCATATACTTTTGTTTTTATATATCTAATTGCTTTTAGTTATCACTTCCTATAAACTATTTTGTGTGAATTAATTCTTTTATTTGCTTCTTCCTAATAATTTATTTGATATTGATGATTTTCCATTTTTCTCATATATTCTATTAAGACCGGCATAACCAACATAAACCAATTACTATACCACCAACCAATCATATCATTTCACTTGTCAAACTGACATAGCAGTACAAATCGGTTCAACAATCTTGCTAAAATCCAATTGGTTGGGTTGGTCTATTTTGCTAGTCAAGGAACCAATGGTCAATATGAAACCGTTGTAATTGAGAATGCGACCAGTGAGTCCACCATCACGAGACGTGAAAGTTGAGCACGCTTCCACCATCCACCTTCCCCACCCATTATTCCATTTCACCCACTCAAACACCTAAAGATAAAATGGTGAATGGCCAACCATTTTCAATAATGAAATTGAAAGTGGCCAATTGAGAAAAGTCATGCACGCAATCACAATTCTACATTAAGTTCTTTTTGCCTCCCCCCACTCTACAGTATGTATACTGTATTCTAATGAGATCTGTCAACAACACAATACAAGTAATAGACACTTTATTCACAAGCAAGAGCCAGAGGACCAAGGAGAAAGTGTAGTATATAGATTGATATCGCTCGCTTCTATTGGCTTCAATGAAGGCTCAGACCATGAACATTTCGATGCATGAGAATTCGTCATATCATTATTGGTTTCGGTTCTGTGTCGCGTCACAATGCCGACTTAGCAGGCGTTTCAGATGCAACAAGCCCTTGGTACATTTCTGTTATGGCACTCTGGAAGTATTCCTTTGCTTGAGCTCTCTTAATCTAAAAATCCAACAACAGGTAGTAACAATCAACATCATGAATGAATGAAGTTCCAATCTTTCAGTGTTCATTATACAGAGCTTAGAACCCTCACCTTAAATGTTGGGGTGAGAAGCCCATTCTCCAATGTAAACGGTTCCCCCACCAACATCACAGCTTTCGCATACTCAAACCCTCGAAGCTGGAAACAACAGAGAACGGAGTGGAAATCGCATTAAGAGTTGGAGAGAATAAAGGTTTTCAGCAGTTGATGGCATTGCTAATGGAACTTCTGGTTACCTGAGCTTCTCTTCCAATAGCATCCATGTCTGACAACACAACTGCTTTTGTTCGTGGATCATTGCATAGTTGCTCCAAGTTGTCAAACTGAAATTTATACCGACGAATCAGTCTTAGATAAAATGGGCATTCAGAGGAGAATCTTATTTTGAAGTCTAACCTTGATGCCTTGAGAGGCAACCCAATCTCTCAACACGTCTTGGTCAACAGCAACAACAGCTACCAAAGAAGAGTTGAAGCTATCACCATAGATGAAGCACTGAGCAACAAATCTGCACTTGGCATAGACATTCTCTATCTTCTCAGGAGCTATGTACTCTCCTTGTGCTAGCTTGAAAATGTTCTTTTTTCTGTACCAATCAATACAGGAGTATGTTTATTGTTCTGAGAGTTGTCAAAGATATCACAAAGTTCGACTAAAACAAATTGCTTGCAGTTCAAGTTTCAGGTTATCACCTGTCAATGATCTTCAGACGTCCTCCTGGTAACCATAGTCCAATATCTCCAGTGTGTAGCCAACCTTCTCCATCGATCACTTCTCTCCTGAACAACATTCGTCAAATTACTATTCCAGTACCAAAGTCAATAGCTTTGGAACCAATAAAGAGAGGAGCTGTAAGGGCAAATTTACGTTTGAGTTTCGTCTTTATAGTAGCCTTGGAAGACGATGGGACCCCTCACACATATTTCGCCACGTGGATAGGGCTTATCACTTTCTGGAACATCCTCAAGCTTCACTTCTGCAAAATGGACAAACGGAAAAACTAGTGTTTTGCATAGAAAGAAGTATCACACAGGCAGTTAAATCGACAGTGCTTAAATAGCTCACCACAAGCTGGATTAGGAGAGCCAACGTGCCCTACTTGATTGTCACCTAAATCTATAACGCTAATGACGCATGAAGTTTCTGTCATTCCATATCCTTCAAGAACTTCTCCGCCAAAGCAGCTGCAAGTTCATCGACAATCATTCATGAACATCCACCGGGAAAAACAAAAACTGGTTCCCCAATGGCTACAACCAACCGAAACTTACATCTTCATGAACTCCAAGACATCAGGAGACAATGGTGAAGCTCCCGAGACAAAATACCGAACTCGTCCCCCAAGTTTATCTCGGATCTTGTTGAACACCAATCTGTCCCACATCGGAGATGCATTCTTGCCTGCAATAATGTTAGAATCAGTAAAAAGAAACTTCCACATTAAGCTATTGTTTGCTAGTAATGTTCTTTGTTCATCTAACCATTCTGTAAGGCCTGCTTTTTGGCATTGTATGCAGCATTGAATAGCCTCTCTCTTAGTCCACCAGAACTCTTCACGATGTTGGTAATACTGCAAAACCAAAATAGTCAATAATGGAACGGTCAACTAAAGTAAATAAGTCCAGAAGTAAGGAACAGTAAACTTCACCCCGCATATATTCTATTGAACAGTCGAGGGACACTGCAGAATATGGTAGGTCTAAGTGCAGCCAGATCATCCATCAGTTTCAAGTTATCCTACAAACATTGGTTTATAATATTGTCACGTTGCATATTCAAGTCCAAAATCTGAATAGAGAAGCAAAATGTTCAATTCAGACACGTACCCCTTGGTAGAATCCTACAGCTACTCCGAAATGCGCCGTCAAGACCTGATTTACCAGCTCGTAAATGTGTGCCAAAAGGTAGATATGATATGTAACTGTTGATAAAAAGGTCGTTTCAACAAAAATGAGGTAAATTATTACACAAGGGGAAAACATCGGTTATAAAAGAATGTATTGCAGTATACAAAACAAGTACTCACGCATCTGATGGGTAGAAGTTGGTGGTTAACGTGGAGCCAGCCACATTAGCAATCAAATTTTCGTGGCTCAGTACAACCCCCTTGCAAATTATCATCAAGTTAACCGAAAGTTAATAAGACCTAACTGTCATCCTATACATCCTTTCTAGTGGAAAATAATTAGCAAGAAAACTAAAATGGATGAGAAATATAAGAATACCTTTGGTGTCCCGGTGGTGCCACTTGTGTAGCAGATCGTAGCAGTATCTTCTGGTCTTGGCGAGCAAAAAGGGTGAAGTTTACTGGTACCCTACGAGGCACCAGTTACATGAGAAAGCAGTTTTTGCTACCACAAAGCTCAATGGAACAATTCAAAGCATAATAGAACATAAATAACGGATGCAGATTGAAATAGTGATTACACTTAGAATGAAGCTCATATATCAAGGAGAAAAAGGATAGTGAAAGATAAATTAATGCCTGGGTGAGCAGTTTTGAATAGGTTACAACCTGAACTCCAGTTGATGATGGAAGAGAAGGCACTTGATCATCGATCCCCCCAACAACCTGCTCAATAAGAAAAAGAAGTTCACTTTTAATGGCAAAACCAGTTAGAGTTATCTTCTGATCCCAGCTGTCTAAGAAAGAAAATATTACCACAATAACACGGACAGATGGAATCTTGGACATAAAGCTCAGCAACTGCAAGCTCCAAGTGATCATTAATCATTTAAGCATAAAAATTCTAGCGTGCTAAGAAAACAGAAAGACTAGACTCACAGAATTCAGTGTTTCAGGCACACAAAATATAGCTTGTACAACAGCATGATTTACAATGTACTTGACAACATCCGGGCCTGAAAGAGATAGAGTAACAAGCTCATCTCACCACCCGAAAAGCTACAACAGCTAACTCCATGACAATAAGTTTTTATGTTCAAGTATGACGAACCGAGAGTGTCGTATAACGGAACTGATATATAAGAGTATGCAGAGCAGGCATGGTCAACAATAATCCATTCTGGTCTGTTGATAAAGTACAATCCAACACGAGCACCCTATGCCAAAGATGTTGAAACAAAAGCATTACAAGATGAAAGCTAACAAAATAACACATGATAATTCTGCATTCACCAAACACAATTTTACCTTCTCAATTCCATGATTCATTAGGCCGGACCCTATAGCTATTCTTGCTGTGCCTGCTTCTCCAAATGTCATCCATTTGTAACTACAGAAACCGATACCAAGTCAATTAAAGTTTCCCATCCTCGGGATATGTGTAACAAGCCCTCACTAATACCAGACAGAGTTTGCTTACTCCCCAACAATTCCATCGACTCGAATTCGCGTCCCAAGGTACTTGTAGTCTCAAAATGTCTCAATCGCATGCCTACAGTGTCATGAATTTGCTTCAATTGTTGTTTGTTTTATGACTTCCATAAAAACTTTACGCAACTAGTCTATGATTAAAACAGGAAACGAATGGTGTTTCTTACACAAAGTTATCATGCAATGTGCCGATTTCGGGGTGATCAGGGAATCTAGATACAAGCTTCAAAGGAGACCTAGCAGATCTGCCACAAACAGCTAACTAACTGGATTCAAGACTAACAAACAATCTGTTGCCAGTCTGCAATTCCCAAAGTACACAAGACTGTAAATTTACTTGTAAACATTCCACTTGCCAGTCTGCAGTTTCTCGGGAAGCACTACACTGTAACCCTGCTCTGCTCACAATGAAACCACCATCATTACCAATATTCGTGAGACAAGATCATAAGGCACAAGACAAGGCCCTTGCCAAGATGATTAACAATCAACCTAATTGTAACAACAGAAAAAAATGGGGGGATGGATTTCTCGAAGACAATCCATTTTTCCTATGAAAAATTCTCTTTTTTTGTCAGTGGGCAAGAGATGAACAAAACTAGTGGTGGGATTTTAAGCAATAAATCATATCTAAAGGGACCCATGTGGGAATCAAAGAAGAGAAGCCCCAACGACAGCAAGGGGACAAAAAGATGGCTCATTTTTAGCAGATTACAGGAAGGAAAAAAAACGAAGGCCCATTTCCTCAACAAACCCAAAAATGAATACCAAATTTTTTGTCTGAATACCTGAGAAAAACTCGCCGGCGGTGGGGCTCTGAACCAGCTGAGCCGTCGTCGACGGAGAATCACCGCTGAGGTGATCTCGAATAGCCCTCATGCGACGCTGGGCAGCCGTCGTCATCCCTCTTTGTTCCTCCATGTTTCTTCCGGCTCTGTTTGGCTCTGAAGCAGGGGAAATCACGAAAAGATCGAAACCTTTTTTTCTCTCTCTTTGTTTTTTGGTGGTGGGTCAAGTAAGCAGAAGGCACGCTTCTCAAGGACGGGAGATGACGATGGGGAAAAGGGTTTACGACTGTTCCACACACAATATGATTCAGTTGGGAGGATCAGATTCAGAGCGATCGAAATTAATAGAACTCTCTGTGCGGTTGTCTGCCCATCCTCTGCTCGTCGTCCTCCTCCTTTCTTCTTCTGGGGTCTGATTGTTGTATCGTTGTTGGCTATTTCGGTCGGATTTGGCTACGTGGAAACAAATTTATTGATTATGATGATTAGTATTGGTAACCACAATTATTGTCGTTGGCGCGGCGCGGGTGGAGTGGAGCCGATGTTTGTTATCTATGAAATCGCCATTTCCAGTCCCTCCGGCTGTGCGGCTGCTTGTTTGTTTGTTTGTTTGATGCTTTTTTACCTGGATTTCAAAATTACGTGTTTGAGGGTTGAATCATGAATCGTCATCCTCATTTCTTCGTATCCATGTATTGGCAAATTTTGCTACGTCATTCATTATTAACTATATACATAGTATATACTTCTCATTATCGCAAAAAAGAAAAGTAAATATACTTTTTATGGTAGAAAAAAACTAAATATACTAATATGCGGTATATTCTTGTCAATGCGATTTATGTCTAACTCTCCGGAATTTAAGATAGATAGATAGATAGATACCCATACTATTAAATAGAGGATGAACATTTCGTACCAAAAAGGGAGATGGACCCTTGTTTTGTTTTCATTTTCAATGATGCATGGTGTTGGGAATGGATTCAATGGGAAGCATATATTCGTATTAATGAAAAGATTTTTATGTGCCTCGTCGAGTGGGCATTAAATAAAACATCAAACAATAAGATTAAGATAGAAATGAAGGAGATGAAAGACAAACAATCAATAGAAAGAATGAGACATATATTTGGTGGTTGGTGGTTGGGGCATCATTGGATAGTGATATTCGAGTCGAATTTTGTTAAACTTGAACTTGACTTGGTTTTTAATGAGTCGAGTTGGGCCAGGTATATTTAACCTTGAGCTTGATTCGTTAAGAAACGAGTTGAGTTCGAGCTAAACTCAATAAAAAGCTCATGAACTCTACTCGAGCTCAATGAACTCTACTCGAGCTCAGCTCATCAACCAGCTCAAGGGCTCTGCTTGTTTATAAGTCTAAATGGTTGAACGCTTAAATTAAATATATAAAATAATTTATAATTTGAATATCATAATACTTGTATGTCATATATGCTATATATGGTTAATGAAAAAAAGAATAATAGTCAATTTTGCATCACTAATTGATCTCATGTTTATATACTATGTTGATGTAATATAATTTAGTTCATAATTTTTAACTAATTAATATCATGTTATATAATAATTAGCAATTATGCATTCTATAATACATAATTTCTCTTCAAATTATAAATGTTACATGTACTCAAATTCTTCAACCATTATATATTATGATTATATAGTCTAAAAGACATGAATTATTAAGAAGACACACATATAAGTTATATAATTGATTTGCTCATAATTCGCTAGTCGATCTGGCTCACTAACTACACTGTCAAGCCAGCTCACCAATTGGACTCAATTAGCCACTCAATCGAGCTAGCTCACGAGCATCATTAGCGGAACAAGGATGAGCTCTGCCTCGATTCGTTTACTAACGAGCCGAATTATGAACGAGTTTTTCTCGAGTAGAGCATCGAGCCGCTCATGGGTAGTTTGACTCATTTGCAACCTTGTCCTTACCTTACTATTAGTATCATTTTCAGTTTTCACAAGTTTAGTTATGTTTTTATTTGGGTTAAAGACACATTTGGTCACTGAGATTACAAAATCGGGACATGTTTAGTCACTAGAAAAAGTTAATATCAAATTTGGTCACTACAATTACTAAAACTGGACACATTTAGTCACTCGCCGTTAGTCTCCGTCCAACTCCGTCAATGAAGTCCGTTAAGTGCTGATGTGGCAAACAGAATTGCCTAATCAGCCGGATATAACCCAACAAAAATAAAACCCGACCTGCCACATCATTATAACCCGCCACGTCATTAAAACCAACCCAACCCAACCCATGACCCAACCCTTCTTCCTCCTTCTTTCCTCAAAATCACCGCCGCCGCTCTCCACCTTCCTCCCACCTTTCTCCCAATCTCGCTCCGGAGATGAACCACTGCTGAACCCATCACGCTCGTCCACCGGGAACCACTGCTGTCGAGGGTGCAATTTCCGTGCATCTTTTCTATGGCTAGCCAGGGTTCAGCGGCTGCAATTTCTTACGTCTGTTAACAACCATTGGCGGCGGCGGCCTTGCGAGCTCATCCGACGAGACCTGCAATCCTCCTCCGCCTCCTCGAGCTGAAGTATTGAAGCCGAAGTAGTCATTATTATTGTTAGCTGCTGAATTCAGCTGGTGTTGGTTGAACATCAACAAGTTCCCCGGCGGTGGAGTGGCGCCAGCACCAGCTGGGCTTTGGATCTCATCCTGATGAAGAAGAAGAAAAAAAACAACATTACAAAAAAAGAAATGAATCGTGAATTGGGAGAAAGGTGGGAGGAAGGAGGAGAGTGGCGGGGCGGTGGTTTTGGGGAAAAGAAGGAGGTGGGAGGAAGAAGGGTTGGGTCATGGGTTGAGTTGGGTTGAGTTGGTTTTAATGACGTGGCGGGTCGGGTTTTATTTTTGTTGGGTTATATTTGGCTGATTAGGCAATTCTGTTTGCCACATCAGCACTTAACGGACTTCATTAACGGAGTTGGACGGAGACTAACGGCGAGTGACTAAATGCGTCCAGTTTTAGTAATTGTAGTGACCAAATTTGATATTAACTTTTTCTAGTGACTAAACATGTCCCGATTTTGTAATCTCAGTGACCAAATGTGTCTTTAACCCGTTTTTATTTGTTGTTATGGGCCTTGTTGCAATAAGAGTTGACAATACAATAGAAATTAGATAAAACCAGCAAAATCACTTAAGTAGCTTATTTATCGTTTACAAAAATGATTTCTTGTGAGATCCTATCAATTGATGGAATAATTTCATTCAATAGAGTTTACATATGTTTTCCTCTTCATTGTATTACTCATCTATGAAACATAATTGTCAACATTATATTTTTTCCTCTTCATTGTATTACTCATCTATTACTCATCTATGAACATTATTGTCACTTTCCATGCCACAATATTATTCTATTATTTTCCTTTTATTCTCATAACTAAATGCATTTTTGTTTATGGTTGCCAACTTTCATGATTTCTCATAATTATCAACTAAATATGATTTTGTTTTCTATTCACGATGTTGTAGTCGTACCTCTACTCTGTTGTCACAACTCTATTGCAAGTACAAACAACAACAAACTATGCCAAACGAGGCCTTAGAAAATCATTGAAGAAGGTAAACTATTATATCATATTGGAGATTTATTTAGATCTCAAAATAGTAATACATTCTTGGAGCCTCAAATAACCCATCGTAACTTATCAAATCTAAACCGATAAATGATCTTAGTGGAATGAAATAGTTATCACAATTAAACCACAATTTCGACACAAAGTACTATATCAGTGACTTCCCCAGTACAATCTCCAAAGACCAATCTCAAGTCTCAGCTCTTACCTCTCTCTCTTTTCTGATAATATGAGATGACTGACTGGCTAACAAAAACATAAAACTCAACCTCAGAATCACTAATTGACAAGCCTGATGATCTTCGGTACCCTGATGTACTGTATATATATATATATATATGATCACAGTATTCTCAAATTCGAATACACGACCAACTTTCCAACTACTTAACACAAGACTGTCGAAGAGTGAAAAGTAAACAGAGATCGAGAAAGCTAGAGTGGTTATGAGGAATCAAACCCACGAAGGCAACCTTTTCACACAAGACTGCCGGAAACCAATTCAACCTTCCGGTCAATTACCATTGCATTCTCTTCAGCAAACCGCAACACTTTCCAGGCCCTTTCTACAAGCACTGCCCGTCGCACAAGTAGTACTGAACTCCAATCCCACAATAAGCCCCATTATAATATGGCTGCTAAACATCCGACCCTATTCTATAATGCTATACCCTAGAGCATCACGCGACGAGACTAAAGGGGTTCATATCTTTTTTTACCGTGTAAACTGAAGGGGCTAACCCTATCTCAAACCCAAGCATACGGAGAGCCAGCGTAATGGCTCGCCCATCTCTCAAACAGCATCGTGGTCTTTCCGAGTTTGCTTCCATCGAGAAACCAAACGCGGATATGGGAACTCAATCAAGCTCGTATAGCCATAGAATCTATGGTCTTGCCCTCAGATGAAAATAATAGCAGCAACTCTGCTGCGAGTCTAAAAGAGCTCCATCAATTGTTGTGCTACATCTGCATCAAATTCGCTAATGTTCAGTCCTAGGTGGATTAGAATCCTCAAAACACCGGTCAAGATAACATTGAATTATGAGCATGGAACAGGGTTGCAGACCTTGAAGAACGGTGGGAGGTGTATGGAACTCCTGCCATACGTTCTGGTAAGAAGGGAGATCCATGTTTAGAAACTTGGCAGCAAGGTAGGCTGCACCACCGGCAATCTGATGCGGCTTGAACTGAAGCCACAATGAACTCCTAAGCCTGCAAGAAAAGAAAAGGCAAAGATAACTCATATTAGCTCTACAAAGCTCCTCAAGCTAACGTCATTCACGATAGTTGCTTTCTTCACAAGCTAAAACCCATTTTGTGTTTGTGCATCTTTTAGCAACTTCGATATCAGCAAACAGAAACACATGAAAATCAGACATTGCATTGTGACAATGAATTATATGAACAGAATAACGCAAGTCGTTTCTTCTTACCAAACAGAAAAGCAGCAATCCTGGTAGTAGAACTATTTGCATAGAATCTCTGTAAGGTTGTTGTTAGGATAACTATACGACATGTTCTACTCAACTAGAAACACATCAACTCCAGGGGGCAAATTCTGTTGCAGAGGCTTTTTTAACTCCAGATACATCATGATTTGATAAAACTATATATGATACACTACGAGCCTATCGCAAACAGCAAGCTTCTTAGAGAAAATAACCACATATGTCTCCTCAACAACTTGATCTCGAATGTGTAAGGTTCACACACTATACCAACACCACCATGCCAGTAATCCACCAGAACAAAAGAGGGCAGCATACAATTGACATTGGACCTTGTAGCATTAATTAGGCATTTAAAAAACAGAACGAAACTGTAAACTTTAGGATATGAGAAAATAGCTGTATTAGAACATAGA